ACGTAAGTAGCTGTTTCACATTTAAGAGGAGGACTGGCCTGAACTACATCAAATGGCTCATTCAAGCACAGATCAACTGATAGACTACGACATGACTCATCAATTTCCCTCTTGTAATCATCAATGTATTTCTGAGCATCATCAATCTCAAAGTGCTCAACAACAGCTTCAAGGATCACAATATTAGTGAGACTACAATTCTTCCTAATTAGACGCATGACACCTTGAAGATTACTAATCATACTCAACTCTCCTTCAAGATCAGAGTTGAAATCTTCAATGAAGGTCTTAAGATCTTCCAAAGAAGGTGGGCATTTAGAAATAACTTTGCGAACGTTAGAAAACATTTTAGCAAATTTTCCATAAAGCACATCGAAATCTCTACTTTTATATTGTGGAATGTAAAAAGGAGCAACTGCAGAAATAAATGTGACTAATAATTGTACACAAACTACCACTCACCATTGGTAGGTGTTGATTTATTGGAATCAGAACAAGAAGATTCAGAAGATTCTTGAGCTGAAAATCCACAAAATAAAAAACCAATTATTAATCTGCTGATAAAATACCTTCATCTGATGGTATCAACTGTCTATTGCCATTAAATGTTTTATCTAAAAATAAAAGATAAAATTTATTGCACAAAATTTAATTATGCTAACTTACCGTAGGCACTTTGTATAACTGTTCCTAGTCTTACATTACCAGTGAACTTGCACAACACACTAGCAAATGTTTGTAGTAAACTATACTTACTTTCAATAGCTACTATAATGGCAGCTAACAGGACTTCACGTTGATTAGGAACAGAGGGACTAGCTGATTCCACACTAGCCAATACTTGTCCTGTTATGACACCCTCTCTTTGAAGCATAATAGCTACAGTGACAGGATCAGAGAGAGACTGAGAGAGGAGTGGATGATGAGTGTTGAATATACCAATAGCCTTAGCTTTACGTTCTATAGAATACACACACACAGTCAATACTAATACAATCAGTGATATTAACTTACTCTCTTGATCTAACTTGTCAGCTCCAGCATTCTCATTCATAGATTTAAGAGCATCTGACAGTGAGTCAAAGGTAGCTCCTCCTTTACTGTCAACATTATCAGCTCTACGCAACCATCTGGCAATGCAGTCAATAAAACGATCTTCTACTTTTGAGTAGTTTTCTGCAATAGCTTCCAGTGAGTCCATGAGTAGTCCTAGTGTCAGTCCTAGTTCCTTCCATCTCCTCTGAGGGAAACCACATCTCTTCAACAGATTAAGTACATCAATAAGTTGATCTAAAATCATATCCAATGATACATAGATAGTTAATGAACATTACCAATAGTCAAAGGAGAAGAGAAGAGACTCAGAGAAGAGGAACAAGAACTGGTTTTAGTTGCCATTGATCAAAGAACAAGCTAACCGGATGCAAACTTTGCAAAGGAATGACAAGGGAGGGGCTGGTTTTGGGCGGGGGGAATTATTGTTTTTTTAATCCTCAATATGGCGGCATTGGAACAGATATACAGGGAAGAGAGAAAGTTGATGATGAAAATGATGGAGTTACTAATGACAGCAAAATAACAGATGGGGTAGTTTAAATGTACCTGTACATGTATACTAGTACATGAATTCTAGTAAATTTGGGAATTACTGCATAATTATGAATTTGTGACCAGTGCCATTGAGCATTTAGCATCATCCTATTATTTATTTATTTATTCATCTATTTAACATGTTGACAGAATGTGATGGTGGATTATTATCAGTTAGTAGTATATTTATACTTTATTGTTCTCATCTCTCTCCTCCTATCCTTTCTTTCATTTTCTCTCTCGTAGGAGCTTGTAGGTTTAAAAGACTCTCATGTATTTAATGTAAGTATTGTAATGTAATGCTCTGATATCAATCATGATACATTTGTATCATGGGAAGCCATAAGATGAAAGGCACCGCGTTGGGTTTATATCTGGTAGACGATCACTTCCGGTGCAATATACATATTTACCAGGATGTGACATAGCTATGATTAAAGGCACCGACAGTGCAATATATATATATTTCACCAGAAGTAATGCTTGGTTTGTTCAGTTGTGATAACAATGATAACAAAAGGTCATTTGTGACCATAATTGACAAAAGGGCCCTTATGGCGGATTTTAAAATTAATCATTATAATGGAAAATATCAACCTGTGAGTGCTTTGTTAGACAATCATTGTTTCTAAAAGTTTCATGGTAACTTTTTGCATCCTGTGGAGTAATTTTATGATAAATGGGGCTCAGGAAGTTGGATTTCTTAGGCTAGAAAGACAAATTTCACTACCCGCCATAAGGTACCTTTTGTCAATTATGGTCACATTTGTAAAACAGCAAGATTTGTTATTAATAAAAGATTTTGTAAATAAACTGATATAATAGTAGTCTTTATTTCTGCAAAGATTGATTGAATTGCATGCCCAATATATTTCAGAATGATTTCAGTCATCGCGACGACCTTTCATCAACAAGTGTAGCTCCTACTAGTCAATTTGAGATGAATTCTGCACCTCTAGGAACATCTAGAGAGTATTCTTTACTGCCGGTAACATTTCTACCACCACACCGCCATTCAGTAAGTACCTTTGTATCTCTAATAGTGTCTAAGGATTCGAAACCTGTACTAATATCTTCCATTTTATCAGCACTAATGAAGGCTAACCTTTATTGAGCACTACACATTTTCATTCACTTCTTTTGCTGTTTTTTTTTCTCGTGGTTCTCCTTCTCCTTCAGCCATATTGGTCCCTTACAGTTGTACCACGTGCTACTGAGCATGCGCATAACCTTTCCTTCTTATGGCTTCCCATTATACAAGCCATATAGAACATGACCTTTTCCTCGTGGGTGTATCAGATATACAATCAAATGATATTCATAATCCCTCGGGCTACGCCCTCGGGATTATGAATATCATTTTCGTGTATATCTGATACACCACTCGGGGTCATGTTCTATATATTACGTACACACTCACCAATGTACATTCACTTGAATCTACAGCACTAGCTTCCAATACATGGCTTATGGTGGAATATGGAGTAATAGACAAAGACTCTGGCTCCTCCACTGCAGGGGCAGATCTAGGATTTAATTTTTGGGGGGCAATTGTGAGATGGGAGGGGTAATTAGGGGGTGTGGTCAACTATGCTTGTGCAAAACTTTTAGGGAAATAAAAATTATGAAGACTAAGCCTGCTAAAATGAGCTCCTTTGTGGTTTGAAGATAGTTTACATAGTTCAGTACTGGAGCTGCTTCACAGTTTATATAGGTAAACCTAAGTTTACATTACTCCAGAAATTTCTGGGGGGCATTG